AAGGCACATCCACCTGCTGTGGCATGGGGTCCTCCATGGGCTGCAGGGGACAACTTTCTTCACCATGGTCTTCACCATGGGCTGCAGAGGAAGCTCTGCTTCAGCACCTGGAGCACCTCCTCCCCCCTCCTTTTCTGACCTTGGTGTCTGCAGGGCTGTTTCTCGCACATTTTTCTCAGTCCTCTCAAAGCTGCTGCAGAGCATTTTTTACCCTTTCTAAATATGTTTCCACAGAGGTGCCAGCAACTTGGCTGAAGGGCTCAGCTTTGGTCAATGGTGGGTTCATTTTGGAGGCAGCTGGAAGCAGCTCTGTACAATGCAGAGGCAGCCCCCGGTCTGATCACAGAGGCCACCCCCACAGTTCCCCTCCACCCCCTCTGCCAACACCTTGCCACTAAACCCAGTACAGTGCTATCTTGAGCTTTTCCACAGCAAGAAATCAGACCTTGGTTGTCCCACAAGAGGGGAACTGCTCAATAGTCAAGGTCTGCAAAACTGGCCCTTTAAGCTGAGTACAGGATGTACTTATTAGAAGTGCACTAGATTGATCACACTTGCATGCTATTGCTGCTAAAGACTAAGTTTATCCTGAACTAGACAAACATAATATTTCACTAAACTAAACTCATATTTCTCTGCAATCTACTGTGTATTACTGTATCTGTAGGTAAATGACTGCAAGGAGTTTTTGTAAGGCATTATAAAAAGAGATCCTTGGCCCTTACAGTATTTGGTGAAAAACAGAGATTGCTGAAGCCTTCTGTCTCCTGTGCTCAGCAGTTTGTAGTCTTTTGCAGCTTTGGTAAAGAGATGGAGGAAGGCATTCCCTTTTGTATGAAAGGACACACAGTTTGCATGGTTTCTCTGAGGCCAGAAAGTGAGTCAGCAGTAAGGAGTTGAGAGGTCAGAGCTACATAATAGCATCCCGTTACTTCACTGCTGCAGTCCAGCATTTGGAAACTGTGGCAGACCATGGATCCATTAACATTCATGATTATTTCATGAATAAGTTATTCTGGAAGTTAATAAAGATGACATCCAAAGCCCCCATTTGAATTTATTTATTTATGAACAGTGTTCCTTAAAATTGGCACCACCATCAGAAAATATTTCCATCACTGACACATAATTCTCACCCATCTCAATTTTCATAGCAAGTTAAACTACTGAGCTTGAAAGTTGTGAAGTGGTAAAATACTATCTTTTCCCTTAGTGAAACAGCGATACTCATGTTTATAAATATCTTAACTGCATATATGACAAGGTAAGGTAGAGAAAGCAGTAATAAACACTAAACCCCACAAGGATACTTACTAATACATAACTGAAGTGGTATGTTAATGACATTAATACCTCCAGTAAACTTGAGGCATCAAGTAAAAAATGTACTTTGGTTTTAAACTTTCTTTCATTTTTAATTAAAGAAGCTTGTACCTTTAGTTCAACTGCTCTCTCAGGAAGAAGCATGCTGAGTTATAGAGTTATATATAGAGAGTTATAATTCTAGTCAGTTACAGATGATCATATGTAGTTATCTTCACCATTTATATTCAGAATTATCAACATTTCCTAAGTTGTGTACACCTACCTCTCTACTCATTGTACTGAGAAAACTTCCAGCCCAAAGTCCTATTTTCCTTTCTTTTAGGGAAAAGATTCAGGATGTTTCCTAGAGCATATTCCAAATGGTCTTAAGGAATTTAGACCCTGCCTTTTCCTCTCCCCCTGGACAGAAGAGCTTGTAATCCTATTTCTCCTGAAAGAATAGGAAGGTGCAAGAAAACAGCAGCTTCATGGGTTTATGAAGGGAAGGAAATGAAGTAATGATAAATTACACACACACAAAAAACTACTAGATCCTTCATTCTAGTCATGAAGAGAGCAACTTTGTTTTGCCTGCAGAACATGAACAGTGCCTGAGTCAACAAGATCGAGTACTTCAGTGAAAATTCCTTTTTTGGTAACTAGAGAGTATGACTTGGTGCATTGTTAGTAAGTGATGCAAAGCAAAAGGCAAAAAGGGCCAGTGCAAGCAAGGAGGCTGTAAACATGTTTCACACCTCCGACATGTCAGTGCTACCAGCCTTGACTGCAACAGTAACAAACGTGGATTAACTGAGTTTATGGAAAGAAAAATTAAAGCTAAAAATGTCAAGTAGAAAAGCTAGCTGCTTCTCTACATACCTGCGGTTAAGAGCCTGTGCTTTTAGTTTTTCTTTCTCTTGTTAGATAGCATACACCACTTTTATATAATTTTCTGAAAGCTAGATAATGCTCATGTTGTTCTTTGTTGTGTACCACACACAGCTGAAGTAAAAGCTATGCGTCCTAAGCAGTCTGTAAAAAAAAAAAAAAAAAAATCAAACTGGCTCCAACTCAGAGAATTACAAACTCCTCCAGTTTGACCCAAAGCCAAAATTTTATCTCTGGAAAGAAGTTGGTAGAGTAGCAAATGTCATTCCCCAAATACTAAGCCTGTGGCAAACCCCAGATTCAAAAGCAATGAAAATTTCAGACACTTACAATGTTCCAAGACACTTCTCTCATTTTGAGAAAATATCAAAGCTGAGTTTCTTTGTTCAGCTGTTTGCTTTTTGAATTAGAGGAGGGAGATGCTCTGAGATGGAGACTTTGCAGCTCATATGACCTTCAGCAGCTCAAGTTTTAAGGGTTAAGCTGCCAAAGAAGCAGCTGCCTAAAAATGTTGCAAATTCACACCAAGTTAGCCTTTGAGATCACATTAGGTTCTAAGATAGTACCATTGGAAACTACGGAGTGTTGCTTGTGTAACAATTGCCTCTGGCTAAAGGTGGCTGGAATTTGAGATCCGCAAGTTCAGACTTGCAAAAGCTTTTGCATTACAGATGTTGAAGAGGCATCTCACAAAAATTAATGCAATATTGAACTGTGCAAGTTGGTTTTTTGGTTGTTTTTTTTTTTTTTTTTTAATGTTAGTGCTCCCACCATTAGCAACATAAATATTCTTAAGAGCATTACATAGTTTGCTTTCTAGAGATGTGCTTGCTTTAATAGAATAAATGGTCCTTAAAAGCTGAAAGAATTGATGACAAAGTCCTTGTACTGCATCAGTTAAATGCAATTCCTTGATAGGGTAGAAAGACTTTGGCCAACAGTTATCACTTGGGGGTTGGGGGGGGCAGTGGTGAAAACAATAGATTAAGTATAAAGCTTCCATTTTAACATAAACCTCCTTCTCATTACTCACAGAATAGTTTGTTTTCTTCTGAAGGAAACCTGACAGTGCTGCAAATTACAGGCATTCTTCCCTGGGAGAAATTAGGAAAGAACCAGTCTTCCCCTTGCCCAGAGCTGTGTGCCCAACCCATCTTCAGCAAACACTCAGAAGTAGATAGGAAACAACCGGAATCAGGAAAGAAACAAAGTTTTTCTTAGCTGTCTACTCATTTGTAATACCTTTACTGAAGAGACAGGTGGAGATCTAGTGAACTTGTGTCCATCAGTCCCTTTAACACTTGGATTTAGGCTGCTTTTCATCACAACAGTGATTTGAAAGATGCAGCTCCAGCTGGCTAAGTCACATCCATAAAGGGAAGGCAAAAATAAACATGTAAAAGGTGAAATTTGCAGATAAAAGCAAGAGCCATATTTCTACATATTAGTGACATTTGAAGCGAACAGACCCAGCTGACAGGTCAGAATGGATCCTGCCAACCATGATGCTTGGTCTTTTCAGTCCGCCTGCTGCTCTTTTAGCAGATTAGGTTTTCCTCCAACTAATCAGTGCAGTTGATGCACATAGTTAATGGATTCCTGTCTCAGCAGAGGCGTGGCAAGCACTGTGTGGTCCACATTGGTCCTGTTCCCTTTCGCTCCCACTGCTTTCTTCCCCTGCCCAACTTGTCCACTCTGTCACCAGAGCTTCTCCTCCTAGGTGGCATCTGCCATCAGGTCAGACACATTGCCTGTATCTGCTGTCTCTTTAACAGCTTTGAGTCTTAAGCAAGAATATAACAACTTACTAAAATTCTTCATGAGCAAGCAAATGAGAACCTCAAAAACCACACCTATGAACAACTGAAGTTGGGCTTTTTCCCCTTCAGCAATAGGAGTTTGTATTTCACCCAAGATGCCTAACACTGCTCATTTTCCAGTTTTCTACACTGTTGAGGAAAAGCTTGCTGGAAGCTGGTCATACTAGCAGTTCACTAAACTGCAGAAAACATTCTGGACAATTCTACCTAAGGATTAAAAGCTTTGCCCTTTAATACAGCTTGTCTTGGGAGACTATAAAACCACAAATACCCAGTTTTGAGCATATGTATGTTACACAAGACCAGACAGTGTCCTGCTGCTCTCCCCTGAACACAGGGGCATAAAAATCCAGCATCTTTTACAGATGGATGCTACATGTACCTCAAGTACAGCTTGGGATGTAGTGTCATCTTGCAACTGAACAGTAAAAACTACATTAGTGATGGTTTAACCCCTGAAGGAAGCTTCATCAGCTTACTTGTAAGCCATACTCATAAAACTACAACAAATTATTAAATACTTCAGGCAGAACTGGACATCAGACACACTAAAGAAATATATCAGTTTCTTCAACTGGTACGAGCTACACTAACATGAATTTTCTGTAGGTTTGAAGAAAAATACAAAGAGTTAAAATGAAATGGTTTTACTTGTTTTAAGGGAAGTAAGGCTAAATTTTAAGCTTCTGCTTAGTAGTTGCACTTTCTCCAATTAGACTTCATGAGAGAGGTCAGTCACTGAACTGGGATTCAGTTGCATTGTGTATTTCCATTGGTAGCAGAAGTAAATAAGTACACTTCACACTTTTGTACCTCAATGCCAGTTGGACACTATTATCAGCACTGTTAAGGATTTAAAAACCAAAAAACTCACAGCTCCCCCACCTTACAGCCCAGTCTGTTCAGAAGGCAAGTAGACAGCTATGAAAAAAAACAACCAAACTGTTTTGATTGGGGCAAGAAATGCTCCACTGGCTACAAGGTGTGCAAGTTTCCAAATATACTTATTCTCCATTTTGAGTTGCTGGGGCAAAAACCTGCACCCTCTCCTTTTGCCAAATTCTCAGACATTAAGCATCCACCCTTTTGCTGCGTTAAGAGCCTGTGAACACCAAACACTTATTTTATGACTAAGGCCTACAAGCATTCCCAAACGGGAAAAATGTTAGTTCACATCAGTGGACATCCCCCTATTATAACATCATTACAATCATAATTGGGCAAGAGAATGGCAAAAGGATCCAATACCAGAAGTGCAGCTGTGTTCACTACTCCTGCCTTGATCTTGTACACGTGCCATCTTCATCATATTCACCCATCAACTGCAACATATATGTTCCAGTGTAGAGAAGAAATTGTCCAGTTATTTGTGCTGCGTGGGACATTAGCTGAAGCACCTTCCTAGAAGAAAAGCCATTTGTTTAAAAAAATTTTCACCAACAGGGTGACATTGCCCTATCCCCCCTAACACCTTTTGAATGAATTGGGTAGATATATTTAAGAACTTTCTCATTCCTCCTCACTTCTGAGAAGCAGGTAATTTTTGTACCTTCTTTTGAGCAAATACTTCTATGGCCATTGATTGACAGAAAACTATTGACATGTTGGCAGAACCAGAAAACACATTTAACAAATCCGGCTGTCATTCTGTTAGACATTTACAGCACTTCTGCAAAGCCATCACTCAAACTAGCAGAGCACCGCTGAAGGCTTA